TATGCACATCTACACATTGTGTCCTAAATACCTGCAAAGTTTGACGAAATTCTGTCCAGCGGTTTATGAGGAGTTGCGCTGACAAAAAAAGGAGGACTGACTGACGAACTGACTGACTGACTGACTGACGGACGGGTCAAAAACATTATACCTCCCACAACTAGTTGCGTGGGGTATAAAAATGATCGTTGACAAAGTCTCTTTAGGTTCTTAGTGTAGTCTACTTGTGTGCCAAGTTATACTCAAATCAGACCAAAACTGTAGGAGGAGTAGCATTTTGAAACAATTTTACAGACATTTCTATTTTTAGTAACCATGGCAACACCATTCATCAAAATTAAAATTCGATACACAGAATTATGTATCTTAGTATAGTCTAATTGCGTGCCAAGTTATATCGAAATAAGACCAAAACTGTAGGAGGAGTAGCATTTTGAAAGAATTTCACAAAAATTTCTATTTTTAGTAACCACGGCAACACCGTTCATCGAAATCAAAAACCGTTACACAGAATTATGAATCTTAGTGTAGTCTCTTTCTGTGCCAAGTTATATTGAAATCAGACCAAAACTGTAGGAGGAGTAGCATTTTGAAAGAATTTCACAAAAATTTCTATTTTTAGTAACCACGGCAACACCGTTCATCAAAATTAAAAACTGATACACAGAATTATGAATCTTAGTGTAGTCTCTTTGTGTGCCAAGTTATATTGAAATTAGACCAAAACTGTAGGAGATGTAGCATTTTGAAAAATTGTTTACAGACAGACGGACGCCAGACACATTACTATCGCAAAAGCTCTTCTGGTCTCTGACCAGTAGAGCTAAAAATGACACAATTGTATCCAAAACAAATTTGATCTAGATATTCAAGTAATATTTTATTAAACCAAATTTCAATTCAGTATGTGCAACAGTTGCAAAGAAAATGAATGGAAACTGTAAATACCGTATAATCCCTATTAACCGCCCCGGGCGCTTAGAAAATTGCGGAAAGGGGGCGGTTATTGTGATATTCTTACTAAAATTTTGAATGTCATATTTTAACTTCAAGAAATCTTTTGAAAAATTAAAACAAATAACAGAGAATCACTACAAGTTGTCTAACCTTCCTTTTAAACTACAAGAATTCACCCAAATTATGCTATATGCAACTTCGGAATTAGGAATAGACAAGGAGAACAAAACTTGTATGTTTAACTTTCACTTTCAGAAATACATGAAATCTTACTCTCAAGAATATTTTGTGTACAATTTAAATAACAAAGTTGAAATTTTTGACAATTGAAAAAGACCCAGGGGGCGCTTATAGGGGTAGGGGCGGTTAATAGGGATTATACGGTAACTGAAATTTTTGTAAGTCCAAGGGGCATAACTCTGTCAAAATGTTAAAAAATCCTACCCAAAACATAACTTGACCTAGTTGTTTATGTGATATATCTGTATATAAAAATTCATTTCAGTATGTGCAACGGCTGCGAAGAAAATGAACAGAACTAAGTGGACCGACAGATCTTGGGTTCCTTATTGTGGCCTTGCCCTACCCCAAGGGGGCATGATTTGATTGATTGATTGTATATTGTTTAACGTTCCCCACAAGAATTTTTTCACTCAGATGGAGACTTTAACGTATGCTGGTGAAGGTCCTCAAATTTTGACCTATACGGTCATGATTTGAAGAATTTAGAATTTACACTACTACAGGATGCTTTCACATAAAGTAAAGTTTAGTAAAAAGCACAGTAGAATATATACTCAACCAAAAAAGAAACACATATTTTACTCATCAAAAAAATTGAAAAAATATATAGAGCAACTAGTTTTTGCGTGGACCCTGCAGTCCACGCAGTAAATATATAAGCGAAATTAAACCGAATGCCCTGGGCAAACCACAGGCTACGCATGCGCGCGAATGCTAGGGAGATCGCACCTTGGGTAACTTGCCCGTAGAATAATTCGCCCTATTCGAATTAAAATATGCCATTCATTGGCAAATCGCGCTTTTAAATCTGCACAGCGCATTTACATATTCATTGGCTGATTAACAACATGAATGAGAAACGTCACTCAACGAACAGAGATACATGTAGTTTGTAAAGCTTTTAAAGTAGTGCAAGTTTTTACCTGCATTAGTTTTGTTCATCAAGACTTGCAAAATAATTTAATATTTCAGCAATCTAATTATTGTTTGATTAGAGTCTGTAGCAAGGGTTTTAATGTGTGTGTGTGTGTGTGTTGGGGGTTGGGGTAGAGGCTCCGACAAAATACAAAACAAACTGCGATGTACAGAGGTGTGCTACACGTGAACCATCAGATCTCCATTTTTCCCATGATAAATTTCTTCCGTATAAATTCAGAACAGGTGTCAAGTCCCAGCCAATATGTGTTACATGTGTCAAAATAACCCAATTTTTAATTTTTTTAACATATTAAAACTGACAAAACTTAAGATCACTAATCGGAGATAAAATGTCACATTTGTGCTTTGAGACTACGATTAGTTAAAAGTGGCAGATAATTTTAGAATAAGTGGACAAACCTTACATGAATATTCACTATACCTAGAAATTTTACACTCAAGTTTTTCCATAATAAAGATATGTACCAAAGATGAATTATACAATTTTCACTTCAGTAACCTTGAACTTGGCGGAAGACCATGGGTGAAAGTCATGACAAACCCTCGGGTCATGAGTAATCTTTGTGTGAAATGAGTACCTATCAAGTTTATCCATTAGAAAGATATGGACCGCACATGAATTCTGAAATTTTTCTTTGTTACTTTGAACTTCCAAAAATTATCTTGGGTTAAGAACACCCCTTAGGTCATGAGCAATCTTTGTGTGACACGAAAGCCTATCAAAATCCAATCAAAAGATATGGAAAAAACAAGAATTAAAAATGTTTCCTTCTGGTGACCTTGAACTTCCCCAAATGACCTCGGGTCAAGGTCATGACATACCCTTAGGTCATGAACAATCTTTCTGTAGAAATGATAACCTACCAAGTTTATCCATAAGAAAGATTACAAGGACCGAACACAAATTATGAAATTTATCTATCATTCACTTTGAACTTCCCCAAATGACCTTGGGTAGGTCATGACATACCCATAGGTCATGGGCAATCTTTGTATGGAGTTGTATAGTCTAAATGTTCTTCCGTAAGAAAGATATGGACTGGACACATCTGCACAGATAGACAGCTAGACAAGACGGACGAGCTGATTCCTTTATATCCCTCAAATTTGGTTTGCAGAACGAGGGGCCAACTACATTGCAAGGTTCAGGAATATTAGCCTGATTCCCTTTCGATAGGTGACAGGCAGTCAATCCATATCTTTGCTTAAAATTGCTTTAAACAGTCCCCTGTTTTAGAACGGAGTTATCTCATCTCTTAGGATCAACTGACCCATCTCCAACTGCTGTTCCCAAACTTCGCAGGGGGTATGAAAATTTTAAAGTTTACAGATGGACACATAGACACACAGGTATAAACCTGCAGAAAAGCAGCTCATGGAAAAATATATATTCACAGACTGGAGAGCTTCAGCGCCACTCATTGAAAAAAAAAATGTACATTTATTGCGCACATAGAAGTGTCCTGTTTCTAAATTTATTTCTCTATGTTCTTAAAACTTTCCCTCAAAATATTACTAACCCTGTGTTCTTTACATATTCTTTCTCTGTTTTCAAAGAAACTTTTTATAATTGATTGTAAATAGGGCTAAGTTCTGTGCCTGATACTGAGATCATTGAAAATTTTCTCTATTTGTTCTGTCATTTTGCTTTGCAAGATAATTCGGTCAAATGCGCTTCATGCTGATGTCAATTGTGAAAGTACCTGATAAAGCAATAAAGAATATTTTGAAAGTAGGTAAGAATTTAATCCAGAACCAAGCACAACTTTTTCTGCACAATAAATAATATATATTATAGTTTTTTTAATGGGTGGCACTATAGCTCTCCTGTTTGTCAATGTATATTTTTCAGAGAGCTACAGTTCTGCAGCTAACAGCTAGAAAGTTGGACGGATCTATACCGACAAAATGTGATAAAAAATTCTCACTTGGATAAGATAAAAATGGTAAAGTTTGAGTCTAATTCGACTTGGAGAGAAATTATGCACCGAACAATGATTTTAAACAGAGAAGCTATTTTGACATTGATGTAGAAACTTCATTTAAAAGGTCAATACACATCTATTGACCAATGACCAAGAAATTTGTTCAAGGTCACTACACATTTTTTATCCATTGCCCCTCTGAGTGAAGTGTGAGCCACATTCGACCAAAGGGAGAGAAAATATGCTCTGAACAAGGATTTTTCATAATTCTATGATCTTAGACTTAGAAACACAATTCAAAGTCAGTGTATATGCTTAACTGAAAGACACTTCAGGGTTGCAAATAACCACTTGCCCACTTGCAAATGCTAGTTAATTCTCCTGTATGACCACTTCTTAAGTATGTTTTCTCCCAAATACACTCATACTAATGTGTTAAATTCAAAACATTTTATTTTTTGATGTGTTTTGCAAATTATAAAATGTATTAAGAGTAGCTCTGACAGTGGCTCTGGCAAGATTTAGCGAAAATTCAGTGAAATAGGGTAAATTATTTACAGAAATGTGGCTAGGAAGTGACTGGCACGTGAAGACAATATAGTAAACAGAAAATTAATTACGTTGCTTTTTAGTTTTCACCACCCCTATAACATCATTCTGAAGAAATGTACATGTACTTCTATCAATCTTTCTTGAATTCATTCAAGTTTAAATTACATAAAGTATTCTCTATCATACAATTTTCTGCTGTCATGAATTAAAATTTCTTATGAATTCTATAGGATTTTTACGCTTGATAAATTTCCTTTATTGAACTATCGATGAATATAATTCTCACTTGGATTCGCTGGCCAACACATGTGATCACAAGTATTGGTATGTAAAAAATGTTTATGTCCAATAATGCATATATAAGAAGCTAATCCTTTTCCTTACCCTAGAAGTGCTGGTCTTCTGGATTTAATGACACTAAACACAAAGTCACCAGGACATGTGAAATTACTTTCCTATATCCGTAATTCGTTATAACCGTATACCATGAGAAAGTCATTAAATCTAAACAGCTGGGGATCCAAAATGAATTCGTTTTATCCGTGAACTTGCAATATCTGTGTCCGTACTTAACAAGTTTTACTGTATATACATTTTATCAAACATATTTTTTGCTTTTTAACAACAAATTAAGAACTTCCGTGATAATTCTCAAAGTTTCGAATGTTTGCATTTTGTTCAGGATAACATTTTCTTTGTATTTTGCACAGCATTAAAATCTCCTAATAAACAGATATAATCAATGTCATGTGAGAGATTAAACAATTCCTCTCTATATCTAGAAAACAATCCTTTGATGTAAGAGTATTACCTGGCATGCATTTTCAGGGATATATATAGATTGACTGTTATATGGTAACTTTAAATGTGATGTGTAAATTAATTTTCAGCATGCACAAATTACGTCACAATTGCCTGCATTCATATACACGAATTTTCAGAGAAGTGTTGAAGTTAGTGTTAACCGACAGATTTCATGAATTTAGACGGTTTGGCAATACTCAGTTATAGATCAAAATATAGAAATGCTAACAAAAGAATCTTTGCCATACATACACTAGTATATTCATGTAAAAAAGAAAATCATGTGTTTTTTATTTTTGAAATAGCAGGCTCCTGGACCCCCCAAAAAAACTTAAATTATCTAAATTTTGATCTCATGCAGTCTCACTTTTCCACTAATTCTAGTAATTCTTGAAGTAAAGTGAAATTAGAATCAAAAGTGCTGTGGAGCCAGGAGACATTTATCATCAATGCAGCAAACATTTATTAATTTTTAAAAAACCTCTTTGATATTTTTTTCTTTGCAAAAACTTAAGTCCCAAATAGATTTTACATGAATTTAATTTAGTGGTTGATTTTGTCCAACAATTCAAATCAAACCAGTAGAGCTTCAGTCTTGACAGAAACTTCTGGTTCATATGAAGAATCCTAATATGTATATCTAGGGGAGTTCCTACCAGGAATTTGCTGTAGTGGTCATTATCTTGCACTGAAAATAGGTACATTTAGTGCCCCGTAATGTTATTTACCTTTTTCAACAGTGATGTGTCATGACACAAACAGATTTATAAAATAGGGGCAATATAATTCTAAGTTATAATATAAATAAATTTTTGTAAATGAATTACAACTAGGACTGTCCAATAGGGACAAATACTCCTGCTGGGTTTTTCAGAGTAGGTGCCAATTCAGAAATATTTTATGGATCTAGTAAGAGGTATTCACTATTGTCTGATAGTACCTTGCCACAGCATGATACGCCCATCAAATATAGTTCGATAATCATAAATTGGTTGGGGTGTAAGAAAATTAAGTAACCTTTGATTAACAGATTGACACAGATTTCAATGATCTAATTTCCTTTTCTTATCATGTTTAAAATATTGTACATACATCTCTAAGAAACTTACAGTGTAGGGATTAATTAAAACAAATAATACATCATATAATTCTAAACTGGCTGCGTTAGAGCTTAACAAATATCCGTCTGCCGCTTTAAATTTTTTCTTGCATATTTTATGAAATTATGGAAATGCTACAATCTAATAAAAAAAAAATCAAAAATTAATTGTTCTTTAGAATATAAAATTCTAAGTGAGACATGACTGCAATTTGTTGCAAATATATTAAAATTAAAATGTAATTTTTTTTTTTTTTCAATGAACACATGTATAAATAATTCTAATTATATTATACAATACTTTGACAATTATCATCTTTTGTGATGTCTATTACTTGAACACTTTGACAATTTTCAATTTGCTGTCTTGTATATATGAATAAATGCTTTAATAAAGGAAAAATTGAAATATCAGTAAAGGGCAAATAAACAAAAGCAAACAAATGTTCAACTGTTTTTATTTTTAATTCTTTAAAATCAATTAAATGTTCAACTTTTTTTTTATTTCTTCCTTCATCACAAACCTGAAATATAAAAAAAGTTTCAAATTGTAAACTTCAATGATCAATTCAAGGGGATAAAAAGGAAATATGTAATTTATTTTATTTTATGATGTATATTTACACACAATTTAGTAAACTTATTTTCACTTACCATTAAACAGATAGTAAAACCTAGACCCATGAATTTGAACATCTGGTGGGTCAATGGTCCGTTTGATATCTTCAGGTAAAACACTGTGTGGAATGTCTCCTTCTGTCCACAAATTCTTTCCCTTTTTAGAGAAGAAAAGAACGAAGGGCCATTCTTGAACCTAAATTGTGAAAATGTTGATTAATATGTGTTTACATGATATATGAAATGAATTGTAAACTGCAACGATCTACAATTCAGCACTTTTGAAAAAAAAATTGAATTTTTAATATTTTACCACTCTGTAAAATATTTGCATAAGAACAGCAAATTATTTGTTTATGTGTTACATTTTTCAATGTAGTATAACCTTTATTGGACCTTTTGCACGCAAAACAACAAAAAAAAAATATGTAGAATAAAACAACAACAAATAAACAGCTTTGAACAAAAAAAAAAAAAGAATGAATAGTATCAATTTTTTTTTAAGGTCAAAAGAATAAAATAAAGCTAACAAGTTTCAGAACAGGAATGGACTTATTTACCACAGCAGGCAAAGAACTTAAACCATGGTCAATCAGAACATATTGTCCAGGATTGTAACTAGAAGAAATATGATTTCAAATTCATATCACAGATGATATTATTATGATTCTGAGCAATGCCCATTTAAAGCAAGTATGACAGTATTTAAACAAGATTATTTTAGCACCTTTTCTTCAATTTATTCTTCTGGACAGGGAGGACAGGTTCCTCAACATCAGGGAGGACAGGTTCCTCAACTTCAGGGAGGGCAGGTTCCTTGACAACATCAGGCATACATTCCTTATCAATGTGTTCCTGCTCAGGGAGGATAGGTTCCTCAACATCAGGCATATGTTCCTTATCAATGTGTTCCTGGTCAGGGAGGATAGGTTCCTCAACATCAGGCATATGTTCCTTATCAATGTGTTCCTGGTCAGGGAGGATAGGTTCCTCAACATCAGGCATATGTTCCTTATCAATGTGTTCCAACAGGGAGGATAGGTTCCTCAACATCAGGCATATGTTCCTTATCAATGTGTTCCTGGTCAGGGAGGATAGGTTCCTCAACATCAGGCATATGTTCCTTATCAATGTGTTCCTGGTCAGGGAGGATAGGTTCCTCAACATCAGGCATATGTTCCTTATCAATGTGTTCCTGGTCAGGGAGGATAGGTTCCTCAACATCAGGCATATGTTCCTGATCCATGTGTTCCTGGTCAGGGAGGACAGGTTCCTCAACATCAGGCATATGTTCCTGATCCATGTGTTCCTCGGGGAATAGGTCAGGGAGGACAGGTTCCTCAGCATCAGGGAGTCCCTGATCCATGTGTTCCTGGTGAATCAAATCAGGGAGGCAAACATTCCTGATCCATGTGTTCCTGGTCAGGGAGGACAGGTTCCTCAACATCAGGGAGGACAGGTTCCTCAACATCAGGGAGGACAGGTTCCTCAATATCAGGGAGGACAGGTTCCTCAGCATCAGGAATATGTCCCTGATCCATGTGTTCCTGGTCAGGGAGGACTGGTTCCTCAATATCAGGGAGGACAGGTTCCTCAGTATCAGGAATATGTTTCTGATCCATGTGTTCCTTAAGAGGGAAGACAGGTTCCTCACCATATGGAATATGTTCCTGATCCATGTGTTCCTGGTCAGGGAGGACAGGTTTCTCAACATAAGGAGGGACGGGTTCATCAACAGTCATATGTTCTTGATCCATGTGTTCCTGAACAGGAAGGACAGGTTCCTCAACATCAAGAAGGACAGCTTCCTCAACATAAGGCATATGTTCAGACAGTTCCTGATCCTTGTGTTCCTGGACAGCAAGGAGAGGAATATATTCCTGTATAACCAGAGGGGTAGGTTCATTCATGAAGACAGGAGATATAGAGCCCTCATCCTGAAAACAAGACAAAACATTGCACATCAAAATTGAATATTATGCTAGTTTTCTTGGCAATACAAGAAACTATTTGTTTTAATAAGCAAATGAGTTTGAATTAAACAAACTGGCCAACTTAACACCTCTAATGTCACCAAATCAGCTGGAAATGTACCTTGTCAAGAGCAGCAATTATGGCTGAAAGTCCCGAGATATTTTGCAAAATATCCTCCTCACTGTCATGTACATAATCACTACAAAATAAATCCAGTTTGTAGCTAAATCCTTGACACAAGAGCTGAAAACTATATGAATAATATTGAAATGAGCAAAGCAGAGGCTGAAAAGTACAAATTTCTCAGCTAAAAGAACTATCATACCTGTCTTGTTGCATCAGAGCTCTACTGATGGGACTTGACTTGACTGAAAAATTGTCCGAAACATCAGAATCTAAGGTAAATACAAGATACATGTATGAAACACTCAGCTTATAGTTCAATTGTATAGCTAAGAAAAGTCAATATGTAAATTGCTAACTCACCTTCTACAAAGCATTCTTCACTTTCTGAACTATTCCTTCTTCTTTCTCGTCTAGTTCTTACTCCTCTACCTCTCCCTCTAGATCTATCTCCTCTTCCTGCCCCTCTAGTCTTTGCTCCTCTATCTCCCCCACTATCAGACATGTCAGAATCTAAGGTAAATACAAGATGCATTTATATAACAGACAAGATTGATTGTATATATATAAGAAAAGTCAACATGTAAATTCCGAACTCACCTTCTACAAAGGATTCTTCACTTTCTGAACCTCTTCTTGTCCCTTCTCCACTAGTTCTAGCTACTCCTCCTCCTCTTCTAGTCCTTGCTCCTCTATCTCCCTCATTATCAGAAACATCAGAATCTAAGGTAAATACAAGATGGATCTATGAAAAACTAGGCTTACAGTTGATTATATAGGTTAAAGAAAAGTCAACATGTAAATTCCCAGCTCACCTTCTGCAAAGGATTCTTCACTTTCTGAATTTCTTCTTCTCCCGCCTCCTCTAGTTCTAGCTACTCTTCCTCCTCCCCTGGTCCTTACTCCTCTACCTCTCCCTCTAGATCTATCTCCTCTTCCTGCCCCTCTAGTCTTTGCTCCTCTATCTCCCCCACTATCAGACATGTCAGAATCTAAGGTAAATACAAGATGCATTTATATAACAGACTAGATTGATTGTATATATAAAAGAAAAGTCAACATGTAAATTCCGAACTCACCTTCTACAAAGGATTCTTCACTTTCTGAATTTCTTCTCTCCGCCTCCTCTAGTTCTAGCTACTCTTCCTCCTCCCCTGGTCCTTACTCCTCTACCTCTCCCTCTAGTCCTTACTCCTCTATCTCCCCCTCTAGTCCTTATTCCTCTACCTTCCCCTCTAGTCCTTATTCCTCTACCTTCCCCTCTAGTCCTTGCTCCTCTGCCTCCCCCTCTAGTCCTTGCTCCTCTTTCTCTCCCACGACCTCTGGTTTGACGTGCATCAACTCCGGGAACAGCATGTTTTAAGTCCTGAACTGTCCACTGATCAACAACCTCAGAATTTTCGCATTGAACTACATCTTCTCCTTCATCACCCACACATACTTTACAAAAACATGACAGATTTCTTGTAAGGAGAGAGTACTTCTCTTCAGTTGATTTAACACACTGTAATTTGCGTGTTCCATGTACAGTTTTGGTTTTGCTTCTATTTGGGCGGTTTCTATTAATGTTTCTAATGAGGAAAAAAGTCCTTTTGTGATGTACATGGTCACTTTTTACATCTGTGGTTTCAAGCTTCTCCTTACCAAATAGGAAGAAATCCTCTGCATTGTTGATTACACAATTCATCCCCATTACTGCTCTTCTTGCTCCTGACTTCACTACCGCTCCTGCACCATCTGAAGGACCTTTGCCGTGACGTGAACCGTAAAAGTGTCTTTCCACAGAAAATCCAAAGTCCTCGTTGCTGTAAGATATATCAGTGAATGGTGTTTTGGATTTATATTGTGCAGCACATCCGTCTGTGAACTGTATTTCTTTTTCAATCACCAAACCTCTGTTTTGCTGTAAATGTTCATTGGCAACAGACACAAAAGTGGCAACTGCATGAGAATCATGCTGGAGATCATCCGACACAAATATTAGGGCCTCCTGTATAACATCATTACAGTTTTCTTTGGGACATCTGTAATATGCAACTGTTGGATGAATGGTAACATTGTTATGTCCCCAGTGGGCACTTTGAACTTCATTTTGGTTCAGACAAGCATAATTCTCAGAAAAATCCATGTTTAGGACAACCCAGTTGGAAGGTACCCTCTTTAACAGCTGTGAAAACTGGTTTTGCTGCCAAGCAGCAACAAATAAATGGACAGCAAGTTTTTCCAACTCTTTGGCAAGATCCAACACAACTTCAGTAGCACTCTTTTCAAAGGTCTTAGGCATAATCTGTGTCACTGTTTTTCCATTCCTCACCTTTGTCATCCTTTCCCACTTTATATATCTCACTTTCTTGTTTGTCGCTTCTCGCATGAGTGGTGAAAAAAAAGCAACAATCCCATCGGTGCCACAGGCAACACATTCTCTTTCTATGCATTTTTTTTTATGCCATTTCTCATCTGGTTCTCTTTCACACATTGTCTTCTCCACCGCTTCATACTTGCTGTCTACCTTAACATTACTCTTCAATGTTGCAGCCAGCTGTGATAAAGACTGTATTTTTAGATCAACATTTGTGCATATCTCACATAGACATGCACTCCATTTCCTTTTTTGAGTGCTTTCAACATTTCCAGGTTTCAACCGAGCAAATGTTGCGAAACTAACTTCATCTGCATTATTTTCCCTAAATTCTCGATAGGATTCTTTCAATGTTCTGTTAAGGACCCTTCTCTCTTCAAGGTTAGCTTTTATTCTTTTTGAATCAGGTAGATTTGTTGAAATGTCTCCTTGCCTGAAGAAATTTTGTATTTTATCACGAGTCTCAGCTGATGTTTTATCCTTCCTCGTTTTCCTTGTGTGGTTTTCTTCCTGCTTTGAGAGCTTGCTTAAATAAGACTGGCTGATTCCTAAGCAAGTACTGGCAAATTTTTTTAAACGGGATGTTTTTAAAAATGCTAACTTTTTGGCAGCTTTTTTTCTTAAGATGGTATTTTCTTTGATGCTGTCAAGAATGGTTTGTTTCACTTTTATTTTCTGTGGTGTAAACTTTTTAGCTCTTTTTTCCACAGCTTGAAGCTTAATAGTCAATCTTTTTTTTCTTTGCCTTTCCCTGTCTTTCTCCTTCTTTCTTCTTATTTTTTGTGGGTGTCTTCTTTCTCTGGATTCTTTCTGTTTGATTCTCCAATACTGCCGTTGTTTTTCTCTTTCTTTCCTTGTCAACACTTTGGAGACTTTCTTTTTAGTTTCTATCCCCTTACCTTTCTGTCGTTCACGGTATCTACAATTTTCAAAACTTTCATTGTTCCCAAAATAAAAAAAAAAACATGTATGGCAATTATAAGGTTAGACCACTTTGTTTTATGTGTGTATACCAAGATCAAAGAGAATTCAGCATGATCTGAAAATGCAACATACACACAGATATTTATAGGATAATTAATTATTCAAACTTATTTACACCACTGAAAATTCCTCCTTTTTATTTACCTTTGCTGATTCATTCTATTTTGTTCTCTATTTCTTTTTTTCTGTTCTTCTGTTCTCTGGCCCCACGCAATTTTTTTTCTGAGCCTTTCTTTTTCTTTGTACACAGGATCATTTTTTCTTTGGTCTCTATATCTGAAAAGATCCAAATTTTTATTTGTATACATAGAGTATAAATGTGCACTGTCTTAAATTGCATGTAAAATAAATGCATATATCACTTATTATATGGACTGATGTGCTAATTAATATAAATTTCTAAAATCTTATTCTTTTAAGGTGTTTTCACCTTTTGGCTCTCTCAGCTGCAGTAAGTCGACAAGTTCTGCTACTTGTTGATATGATCGCTTCTTTTGGTTTCCGCTTACGAAGCTTATGAAAAGACTCAGACTGTAAGATAAATGTATTCTTATGAAATATTCTCATTACTTTGAAAGTCACTGATCGTTTTATAAGTATTTTTATCTAAGAAGATTTCACTTATAATGGAATTGTATTATGTCAAGCGTAATTTCCAACATGAAAAAATTGTCAGAAAGAAGATTGTTACTTTGTAGACCAATTTTTCTGTGTTTATATTTGTTTTTTAGAAACCCCTCAATTAAAAAAAACAATGCAAACTTTTATGCATAAAATTTCTAACGGCCAAATAACATTTCTTTATTTGGAAATTACTTTTGACTGGATAGTCTTCTCAAAATAATTTCCAAACACTAAGTTGTAGTTTGGTCGAATGAAGTTCAAAAATATATTTTTTGACAGTAAATATACACAATAAAAACATATTTTAATGTGTCTTAATGATGTTTGCATATTTTTTTAAGATGAAAAACACAAAAGAAGACTAGAGTATGATGGTAATTACGATTGACCATATTACTCATGGAGGATATTATCCTTGACATTGCAAAGAAATGCTTTTTTGTCAATATAATTGCCGAATATTATGTAATTGTTTTTTAAATCATTGTTTACAGAAGAGAAATCTGAATTAACAAATCCGCATAAACACAAACTTCTTTAAATATGACGTATTTATTTCATTTGTAAATTAACCTACATCTATTATTTTAGTAATACTCGTTTGTCTATTACATTTGACGTACTTTAGTTGCCATGCTTACTCTGTCAAAATATAATTTCCGATCTTAATTTCGTAGTTCATGTATTACATACTCGCTACACGCACTGAAATTTGTAAAAACTGCTACAAGGATCAAAAAAAGTATTTTACATGTAACATTACCTCTAATCAAAATTTGAATTTACAAATATTAATAAAACATGAACGGATATTACTAGTAAGAATATTTCGTGTCAAAAGATAATGTCCGTAAACATCTTATGTGTCAAACTATAATTGCCGTTCTTCGACGACTCTGAACATACACGGAGCAGTGACGAAGAAAAGTGGTTTTCCCCTAAATTTTTTCTATGAATCAATCCTTTCGTGATCCTAACTTCTAATGTAGCACAAATATTTACTTATCGCTAAAACTACTATACTATATTTCGGTGACGGTAGTCACTTGGATGAAAAGTTGACCGACATCAAACTTACCTCCATAATTGTTTGGCGTTCCCAAATTAGACAGGTTTCGATGACGTAGAACACATAACACTGGACTCGGACGAATCTGACACCGGATAAAAACGTCCTCCGGATAGGTTTAGACGATTTATGACTGTATGTACGCCTATTATGGAATTGACCGACACTGGAGTTCACCAATAAAATACGAGTTTTAAAACCGATTCAGTGTACAGTTTTAGGCTTTTTTGTGCTAATTGTCTTCTAAAATGATATTACTTTTTGATTAACATACAGTTGTTTATTCCATCATCATTTAAACAGATACATTTCATGCCTGCAAGAATATCTCATTTTGACAGACTGTGTAATAGGCGTATGCATCACTTTTTAAAAGAATTTTTATAGTACTGTTGATAGATCTGTTTATTTTTTTACAGTAAATTTTACAATAAATTATTAATAGAATTAACTGTCAAAAATTAATTTCTTTAAAAATGCATTAAACTTGGAAAAATCTGGTCATGGTTTATGTGCACTCATTTGCAACCCAAAATGATTGCCCATATTTCTTGACAATTCAATTTTCAAATACATATTTTGGATACTGTTTCTGGTATAAAAACAGCACACTGTGTTATATGTCTGTATACATAAAAACATACACATTGAAAACATTTATTAAACTAAACAAACATTTTATGAAAAAACAAAATTTAAAAAGTGATGGACATTATTATTTCCTCATATCTGAGAAGGACCCTATACCACCGCTTTTTGGCAGGTGACAATGCTAATTCAGCACAGTCAACGTAATTCTTTAAAACATTTATACATTTTGGAGTTATATTAACCTAGAAAATGGGTCTAAAAATACTTTGCATCGATAATCTGATAATCAAGATATCAACACGATTGGAGAAAAAACCAAAATCCGGGACAGTCGGAAATACTAGGTTAAATGCTTTTGCCACCTGTGCTTGAATTCTTTCTGTTGAAATTTTTCATATTTAGCTCGTCTTTATCTGAAGTTTTTCTTTAATATGTTTTCTACCTAACTCGGCCCCAGTTGTGAATTTAATAGGTCACGCGAACCATGCTAGTTTCGCTTTCATTTACAGCCTCGATCTAATTTAAAGATAAGGTATTACGCAATCGCATATAAGATACGATAATTAGATGGGAAATGCACATACAAAAAAATTTTAACCAAAAAAGGGGCCGGTCATTTGGACCGACATTGATAGCATTTTTACCAGTCGTGCGAATTTTAAGCCGGTTTTGCCGGCATGACCGACAGTTTTCCACAACTCTGAACTATAGTAACAAAAATGAATAAAATAATAAACCTTAGTTACATTAACTTCCTTTTTTAAATATGGACCAAAATAAGAGTTTGGGAAGAAATCCAACATTATCAAGAAGCATTCATACAATTAAAATCAAAACCCAATAACAGAATTATTGTTGCATAACCATTTATGAATACTAAGACAATCAAAAACCATTTACAGGGATCTTAAAGTATCTTAAAGTAGTCTTCTTGTGTACAAAGTCTTATTGAAATCATAGGATGAATAGTGTTTAAAGATCATTTCATGAGACATTTTCATTTCCAGTAACCATAGCAATATCATTTCTGAAAATCAAACCAATAGACTGATGTATTGCAGTGCTATACACTTTATATATATTAAATTATTCTTATTGACATTGAACAAAAATAACACTGAAGAAGGAGTAGCATTTGAAAAAAAATCATAGAAATTTTAAATTAAGTCACCATGGCAATATAATTATTTACTCTTGAATTTTGTTCGACCATTAACTGACTTGAGATGAAGATGTTAGCAAGGTACTTTATACATGATGGTCACTACCAAAAAGATCTTTAGCAATACATCACATTGTCACCTGAGCAATTTTTTTCTTGGACACAATGTCAGATGACATTCTCAAATACCTTTCTCCTTTTTCTCTGGAGATCCAACTTTATATTTCAGTGAGTATATGTGGCATTCATCATCCAGACCAGCTGCAAAGAGGTTTTTCCTGCCATCATACACAACACAGCCATTCATTATGGATTTGGAACCTGTATCATGTCTGCATATGCTTCCAGCGACAGCTTTTTCTGATAAGAACTTTACTTCATATACTTCCTGAAAATTAACATCATAATTAATCTTAAATTGGGCAAAATTCCTATTATTTCTATATTGTCAAATCTTTATTTTATCTAAATAGTAAATAGTTGAAATTGTTTTTCTTCCCCTCTGAATAGAGACTCGGTGATAGAAAACACACAACTCTTTGGATTCAGTATTCTAAAATATTGCTTTCCGACCCTTGGTATCACCGTACGGGTCTGATGCATGTATGGTGACATCAAACGCTAGAGGAAATTCGAAATAAAACCCATATTGCAAACTAAATCTAATTTGAGTTCAGTGTTCAAGAACCTCTTACAATGGCATTTGGTACACCCGTCTTTGCTGCTCCACCGCCACCAGCTACAAGAAAATGGCGTTCGTCTAGGGCTTTAACAGCATACAGAGGAAAATCGGAACGTGCCAACAGTCCACCTTTTGCAGACGCCATCGCTCTCTACAATCTCTTATGCAGAGTTGTCGTTCGTTCCTCTCGCAACATTACGAATTTTATTAGTGCCACGCAATTTTTTTTCAGCTGGTAATTCCAACTTAAAAAGTTGGCTAACTTGGCCTTTCGTTATTTTTTTTTTAATTATTTTTTTTAAGATGGTGATTTCGACTTTAATCTCTGCTATTTCAACTTTGAATTTTGAAATATTAAATTTTAGAGTTGAAATTTCAACTTCAAAGTTGGCTTGTACAACTTTAATCCTGGTTTTTGCCTATTTTAATTTGAGATTTTTATCTTTTTATGCCCCTGTAATTGAAGAAACATGGGATATATAGTTTTTGTCCAGTCCGTCCGTCTGTCTGCATGTTTGTCCGCAATATACTAACCCTGCGTATAGCTTATGAATGACTTAGGTTATGGCTTTCATATTCCACACTGAGGTGTATTCCTTGTGACTTCTTCGGGTACCACCAAATTTGACCTCTTGACCTTGGAGTTTGACCCAATTTTACCAAAAATACCAAACTTTCCATAACTTGTGAACAGTTGGTGCTAGGGCTTTCAGGCGCGTAGCTGCTTATACGCAACTGCGTACACATCATTTTCAAAAAAAGAAGAAATAAGAATAAAAGAAAGAAAGAAAGTGAGAAATTTATTCGGAGAAAAGGAAGCACTATCCATGTCTCAAATTATTTGGTGTCTTATTGTTTCGATTCAAATTTTGTTCAGCATGTCTGTACAGTCAAATCTGAAATTTTGTCTTTTATAAAATCAGTTCCAAAAACATCTTGAGGAAGAATATATTATCACACCATCGCGTAAGATGCGTGGGCTTGTAGGTAAAAGCCACTAGGGTGGACTATTTAGTAAATGAAGACGAAGCCGCTTTACGATTTGCAGACCTTTATTTTTCGTCGGGTCGGACAGTATCAAGGACAAGCGCGTCCCGATTCCAACTCCCCGAATGTTAACACAAATTTGTATTTATAGACAAGATTGATAATTGACAATTCTTAGTAACATATGACATGAGTTATTTGAATTACAAGTAGAGTTAAAGATAATGATTTTAAATAAACAATAATTAAGTCACACAAAACACAGTCTATCTGGTCATATTTGGGTAATTAAGATAATTAAATATTCAAAATAGATAAATCTGACAGATTGGAGCAACTCATTGACAGCTCATTAAATTAAAAACAGATGTAAGAATTTAAAATTAAAAATATCCAAATTAATTGTCAAAATGTCCAAGGGTACATTTTCATCTGTGACAATACCCCCTTGCCCCAGTAAAACACGTCCTCGTGTTTTGAATCGGTACGCTAGATGTTTGTTCACTTGAATGAATACGATGTCCGAAATGAATATTTTGCTGATTTTGTCCGTAATTTGGTATTTTGATGGTACGATTATAAAGTTCATTTTCTAGTTCACGAATTCGTTGTAAATACAATTCCTGATTGTTCAAGAGTTGAATATTTTCGGTTTTCAAGGTCAGAATGGCGTTGTCCCTTTCTTGAAGTCTCGCTTTGTTTTCTCTCCATTCTTCTTCGACGTTAGCACTAATCGAATCTATCAATTGTTTGTGAGATGAGTTTTCAAGCCGTAGAGTCTGGACTTCTTGCTGCAACTTTGAAATGATAAGTTTATCTTCAGTGTAAATAGATGAGGGAGAATCCGTTGGCTTTGTCGTTGAAAGTTTATTAAAATTTTGTTCCTGGTTAATAATCACATTTACTGCGTCAGCATACAATGTTTCCATTTCTTTCACTTTGAAACGTAACCGTCGATTTTCTGTTTTAAGTCCATGATGGATATTCAGAGTTTCGTGAAATGCTGTATTCCGTAGATAATAAAAAGGCAGTTCGCGGAGGTGAGATTTGGTTTCCAAGTACTTTTCTATACGAACTTTGTCTCTGGACTTTCGTCTACCGGAACGTTGCTCTTGGATTGGTGCACTAGTATTTGCCTTCATGGTCATCCTCACAGGGGAAGAGAGGACAGTCCTGCACATTCTAGCATAGTGACCATGACGCTTACATCTGTAACACTTCTCTATTTGAGCACGGCAACTAGGACCATGGACGATTCCACATCGGCCACAAACTGGAAATTGACGCTGAAAGGAGTAATCCATAGGTTTCCGTTGTGGTCCAAGGCTGCGATTCATAGCGGCGTGTACGAAGTTTAAGATGTTTTTCTGAATTTGGGGAATTCTCGTTTAGGGTAGGGATTCAAATGGTAGAACTCGCTTGGCTGTGAGAGGGGGTCGTACCCGGTTATCTGCACCACTTATCACACCCTCGCGTAAGATGCGTGGGCTTGTCAGTAAAAGCCACTAGGGTGGACTATTTAGTAAATGAAGACGAAGCCGCTTTACGATTTGCAGACCTTTATTTTTCGTCGGGTCGGACAGTATCAAGGACAAGCGCGTCCCGATTCCAACTCCCCGAATGTTAACACAAATTTGTATTTATAGACAAGATTGATAATTGACAATTCTTAGTAACATATGACATGAGTTATTTGAATTACAAGTAGAGTTAAAGATAATGATTTTAAATAAACAATAATTAAGTCACACAAAACACAGTCTATCTGGTCATATTTGGGTAATTAAGATAATTAAATATTCAAAATAGATAAATCTGACAGATTGGAGCAACTCATTGACAGCTCATTAAATTAAAAACAGATGTAAGAATTTAAAATTAAAAATATCCAAATTAATTGTCAAAATGTCCAAGGGTACATTTTCATCTGTGACAATATTACTTGTTGAACCCAAAGGTTCAACTGTTGATCCGCGTAATCCTGATTACTCGGACAAATATTTGATGAAGGAAAGCGATCTAGGGGACATATTGATCTAAATAAAAAGTTACAAGGGTCTTGGACGACTATACAAGATTTTTAATTTCCGTTGAGGTAATGAATAAATGTCGTTAGGCCTATACAAAAAAATAACAATAATGTAGATCATGTATGAATATTTTCCTTCACTGATGTTACCAATTTATATAGAATTTTATTATTTAAGCATTTTCACATTGTTTTAAGGCTATGGCTAGATGGTAGGACGTAGAAGAAGTTGAACATGAGTTATCGTTCATATAACTATAAGGGTAATCAAAAGACACCCCTCCCCCTCCACACACACACATTTAATACCAATATATCAGTAAATTAATTTGATTAAACTATCATTCTCTTCCTGAAGTATCCGTGGAAGCATTAACTTCTGTACATAGTGTGATTTCTTTTGCGGGAAAATGACTGAAAATTTTCGTAAAATACCAATCATTTTGACCTTGACCTTAGAGTTTGACCTTCAACCTTCGCCTTAAGCTACCATGTAGGTGCATCAGTGTTTCACAAACACACTTGTTTTCAGCGAAAATGTGAATTCTGTTTTTAATTTGCAAATGAAATTCTTAAAGATTTCAAATTTGGTGTAAAGGCCATTTGTAAAATAATTTTTGTTTTCCCGACTCTGCGTAAAATAATTGTGTTGATAGGTAGGTGGGAAAGTCATTTTTTTTTTTTTTTTTAATAAAATTTCAACATATACCCCTCAGGTATTTGTCGACAAGATAAGAGGAATAAAAGGAAACAATATCATGTCCATGAATGTGAAAAAAAAGTTTTTTGAGTCGGACCATTTTTAGTCAGTCGGTCGGGAGAGAGGCAGACAAACATCTTTTATTGAGATGGTCTAATAAATTCACTATATGAATATCGAAATAAATCATTTAAAAAGAAGTTAAATATGAAACGCATTATTTG